CCCCACCCCACCCGCACTGACAGGGGTGAGAGTAATGAAGTGGAAAAGATATGTTCACAATTTTGGCTGCATCTGCTCCCATCTCTAAGCAACCCAGGCCTTGGATTGAAGGGTGGTGGCCCAAAGACGCCACTTCAGTCACCCGGCTAGTGTTTGTGCTCTGGCCGATGAAGCGAGTTAAAGGGTTAGACAAATGCAACTCATTGAGCAAATAGACCAGAGTGTGCCACACCAGATGTCCAGGAGGAGGCTGGTGTTCCACACCACAGGGAGCATGCTGCACCCCTGGACTGGCCTGGCACCCTCCCTCCAGGATGCCACATGCTGCCCAGGACCCAGGCTGCAGTTGTAGGAATTTGATTTAGGAAGCTCCTAAAGGCAACCCTGAAGACTCCTTTGTCCCCAAAACAAGTCAGTCCTGGCTGTTGGACAGCTAACCTGTCACAGGATTGCCCTTACCTTCTGAGCCCCTACTCTTACAGGAAGAATCACACATGAACCAGGCATAGTGTGCATCACATAATCCCAGCTACTTGGGAGGCTGAGGCAGGAGGATCTCAAGTTCAAGTCTAGCTTTGGCATTTAGCGAGATCATGTCACAAAAATAAAATTAGAAAGAGTTGAGGATGTAGATCAGTGGTAGAGTGCTTGCCTAGTATGTGCAAGGCCCAGTACCCCACAGAAATCATCCATAAGCACAAACCTCTCAGGCTCTGTGGGGAGGGCGATCAGTCATCTCTTCCCAGACCAAGAGGAAAAGGCATTTTGCCAACTTGGGGCCCCCTCTCCACCAATGGGAGTAATTGGTTGTCTTTATTTAAACTATACCCTATGCCACACAAAACCCCCTGGGACTCAAAAAGTCCCCAAATTAGGATTTCCATGGCAACACATCGCCCCACATTCTCAGGTTGTCAAGGAGTGATTATCTATGGCCCTATCCATGGCAGTTGTAGGAATTTGATTTAGGAAGCTCCTAAAGGCAACCCTGAAGACTCCTTTGTCCCCAAAACAAGAACATGGGTGGGAGACACAAACAGAAAGCTCCATTGTGCTGCTAGCTCGGCATCTCTGGGAGCTGGTCCTGACAGTTCTGCTTTTTAAAGGCCTGGGCTGTGTCAGAATGAGATTCAGCTCTGCTCAGCAGAAGCCCTGGCCAGCCCAGAACACTGCCCAGCACCTCCAGCCTGTCCTCGCTGACCTGCTTCCCTTTCCCCATTAGGGGCTATTCTCAGGGGACCTCAGGTCTCCTGGGAGGCCTTGTAGAATGGAGGAGTGTCCAAGGAGATCCCTCCAGGCAGGGAGAGGAGTGTGTGTGTGAGACTTTCAAAGCGCCTGGAGAGCTGGTCTGTGCAATTAGAAGATGTGGGAGTGAGTAGAGGGTGTCAGCCCCCCTACCCTCAGGCAGGGAATAGTTCTGTAGCAGTTTCTTGGAGCCTCCAGACCAAAGGCTGCCAAACGTTTTCCATACAGGGCCAGACAGTAAATATATCAGGCGTTTCAGGCCATATGGTCTCTGTCACGACTGTCTAACTGCCACTATAGCACGAAAACAGCCGTACAATATGTGTACAAATAGGCATGGGGAGGTTCCAGTAAAACTTTGCTTATAAAAACAGGCAGTGGCCTCGATTTGGCATGAGGTGGTAGTTTGTTGACCTCTGCTCTAGATCCAAGAATGGGGACCTTAGCTGTCTGCCTCCCTAAAACATATCCCTGGTAACCAAACACATTAAGTGATGAGCGGACAGTTTTCTTGACTGTTTGATACCTACCCTATGTAGGTGGCCTTTTATCTCCTCCCCATAGGAGGGAGAGCCAGGAGCTGACAGAGATGCTCCTGACACAATCATCTCAGCCTTCACACAGCCCTATGGGAGGATGAAGAGAGCAAGGTACACTCCCCTGGCCCAATGCCCCTAAGCAGCATATACACAACATTTCCTTGCAAACAATTTCAAGGAAGTGCACAGCCCTCCTGAAACTTATTCATGAACTATGAAGAGGACTAAAAACCCTAAAGTGAGATCCCTTGCTCACTCAGAAAGAGCTAGCTCCTTTGTATTTGAAAGAGCTCTTACAAAGCATTAAAAAAAAAAAAAAAAAGATAAAGAACTCTGCAGAAAAAAATAGACAAATGACACAAAGAAGCAATTCACACAAGACACAAATGACCAAGAGGTGAAGAATGCTGTCCCACTCAAAATTAAAGAAATTTTTTAAAAATCATGGTATAGTATCACTTGCCTATAATCCCAGTGTCTTGGGAGGCTGAGGCAGGAGGATCAAGAGTTCAAACCGATGGGAGGGGAGGGGAAGGAGAAGGGGGGGATGGAAAGACAGCAGAATAAAATAGACATTATTATTGCTGTGGGTATATACATGACTGCATGACCAATGTAATTCTGCAACCTGTACACTCAGAAAAATGAGAAATTATATCCCATCTGATTCAAATGTATGTCAAGATCATTGTACTGTCATGTGTAACTAATTAAAACAAATAAAAAAATGGAAAAAAAAAAAAGAGTTCAAACCTACCATCAGCAATTTAGCAAAGCCCTAAGCAACTTAGTGACACCCTGTCTCTATAAAATATAAAAAAGGGCTGGGGATGTGGCTCAGAGGTTAAGCACCCCTGGGTTCAATCCCTAACACAACACAACAAAATAAAATAAAATAGAATAATAAAAGAATATGGGCCTATTAGTTTCTTCTAAAAGTTTCTTGGACAACGACTTCAGAGTTCACTTTAAAGGCTTTCTTCAAGAGGACTCACGGTATGGTGCTTTTTATCTTTTTTTTTTTTTTTTTTGGCCATGCTGATGGACTGAACCCAGGACTTTGTGCATGCTAGGCAAGTGTTCTACCACTGAGCTACATTCCCAGTCTCTATTTATATTATGCTTTATTATGACAAACCATCTTTCTGCATTTTGGAACTTAAATTCCTCAAGTCCCAGGACCATCTCATCCTTCTATCCCTGAAGTTCAGACCTGCCATAACAGAGGCCCAGCGTGACTAAAACAATGGGGGTGATGCCAGGTTTTTATTTTTCATCTTGATGAAAGGGCTGGTGGTTTTCACACTATCCAAGAACAAACAGATCCATGACTCCTGTTTCACAATTTACACAACTCAGTGGAATGTGTGTACTTCTGATAGAGCAAACATATTTCTCACAGTTTCGACATTTGTTTTCCTCTGAGGATTTGAGAGAAAGGAAATGTATCTATTTTTCTTTTAAATTTACCTGCTTAACAAAATAAGAATAAAAAGGCCCAAAATAGTACATAGTAAATCTCCGTGGCACCAGCTGAGGCAAAGCAATCGAGGCCCCATATTTATGTGTGACACATACCCCCACACCCAGAGCATGCCCTGTGCCAGGTTCTTCTCACCTGACACCAACTGCAGTGAACTTTTCATGTCTATGAACCTAGGCAAAGACAGTTCATCCTCCTCATCAGGACAGAGCTAACAAAACAAAGTAGAGGAAGGGTGCACAGAGAAGAAACTGGGCCTGGCCTTTGATTCACACAGCCGGAAGGTGGGTCACAGGGATGCCAACACCTTTCAAGATCCTCCCCCAAACCGAAAATCCTCAGCATTCCCTCAAAGCAAAACAAGGGCCCTTCAACAGCGTGATTCCTGACTCACTGGAACAAAGAAAAATGAGAGAAAAGAGCGCACTGCAAATAATAATGGTAGGTATTATACACTAAAAGCTTTTTCATGGGTGAACTGAAGCAGGTGAGATTTCCCTGTTGGAAAGAAGTCTCTCTGAAGAGTCTATCACCCTTACTTCTTTCCCAGGGGCCAGCTCTGAATAGCACTCTTGCCAACCAAAGAGAGCTCCCTTCTCTCTGGGGAAGACTTTTTCGTTCTTTCTTTTTCTTTTTCAATATATATATTTTCGTTGTAGATGGACACATACCTTTATTTTATTTATTCATATACAGTGCTGACGATCGAACCCAGTGCCTCACGAGTGCTAGGCAAGCGCCCTACCACTGAGCTACACTCCCAGCCCTTTTTTGTTCTTCCTGTTTTCTGGGTTTCTTTCACCTGCACCTTTCTTCATCCCCCATCTCAAAAAGAAGCACATTTTGTGGCACCCTGGTGCTCCCAAGAAGGGGTTATTCAGCATCCTGTGGATATGTCTCCCTCCAGTCAGGCTGTCTGTGCCCTGGCACTTGGAAAACTAAGAGGAAGGCCCAACAGGTACTCCTCTGAGTTTTTCATTCAATTCTAGAGAAAGGCAAAGGCTGGGACTGGGGCAGTCCCAAGGGAGGTTTGTGTTTGGGTTGCACAGTTAGCCAGAGCTCCTGGACACCCTGGAGGTGGTAACCATGGAAAATAGAGGGAAAATGGGTGACATCTCTTTTTCTACTTGATCCTGTCTTTCCTGGGCACATGGCTAGTAAATTGCTTCCTCAGACCAAAGCCAAGGCCAGAAGGTAGGGGAGCCCTGCCCTGTTGTCTTCAGGACCTCCCAGCTTGGGAAGCCATGACTACATTTGTTGTCAGGCCACTGCACCCAATGCCTCCACTGCTTGGGATGTCCAGGCATATGTAGACAAATGGATGGCAAAGAGGAAGAAACAAAGCTAGCTCAAATTCATAAGCAGGGCTGGAGATGTGCTCAGTGGTAGAGCACTTGCCAAATATGCAAGAGGCCCTGGGTATAACCACCAACATCCCCCCCCAAAAAAAAACCAAACAGCCCAGCATGGTAGTGCATGCCTGTAACCCCAGCAACTTAGGAGGCTGAGGTAGGAAGATTGAAAGTTCTAGGTCAGCCTGGCAACTTAGAAAGATCCTGTCTCAACAACAAAAAAGGGATGGGGATGTAGCTAGTGGTAAAGCACCTCTGGGTTCAAACCTCAGTACCAAAATAAAGAAAGAAACAAATAAGTGAAAAAAGGTCACGAGCAGATTACTGAACTAGATACTAGATATCTTAAAAAAAAAAAAAGAAAGAAAAATGAGTACTTACCGTTAATGAGGTGAAGGTCATGCACATCCCACCAAAGCCATTCAAAGCCAGGGCAATAAAGATGAGGACTGAGAGAGCTGCAGGGAAACAGAGGCATAAGCAGGAAAGCACAGCTAAGGTCCAGGGAAGCCAGGGCCCGGCCCAATGCCCCACTCAGATAGGCTTCTAATAAATGCAGGCTGGACAAAGGGTTAGTGCCTAATACCTGGGGAGCCAGAGAGGCCTCTTCCTCCCCCTGCTCCTCTTGCCTACCTCACAGAGCTTGAGCTCTTCTTACAAAAGGTAAACATCTATCCTCTTTTCTCCATTAACTTAGCAGCAAGCATGAGGCCTAAAGGCACAGCTTCAAAGAAACCAAAAATCTAGGTTCCTGAAAACCAGTAGATAAGCCTGGTTAAAACTCTGATAAGGTGGCCCATGCCTATAATCCCAGCGGCTCAGGAGGCTGAGGAAGGAGGATTGTGAGTTCAAAGCCAGCCTCAGTGGGGTAGGGAGGGGGAGTGTGGGAGGAATAGATGACCTCTAAAATGACACATAGTAAATGACACATAGGGCAGAGGGGTGGGAGGGGAAGGGAAGGGGTATGGGGTTAGAAATGATGGTGGAATGTGATGGACATTATTATCCAAAGTACATGTATAAAGACACAAATGGTGTGAATATACTTTGTATACAACCAGAGATATGAAAAATTGGGCTCTATATGTGTAATACGAATTGTAATGCATTCTGTTGTCATATATACATTTAAAAAAAAAATTCGGTCTCAGCAAAAAGTGAGGTATTAAGCAACTCAGTGAGACCCTGTCTCTAAATAAAATACTAAATGGGGATGTAGCTCAGTGATGGAATGCCTGAGTTCAATCCCCGGTACCCTCCCTCACCCCCCCAAAAGACACATAAAATTCAGGTCAGATTTTTGGTGCTTGTTCTAAACATTTTTTAATCAATAGCTCCATCTGAATAAAGATGGGGAACAGGTGGCTTCTAAGCCACCCTTAAAGTACTGGCCTGAGCTGCCTGAGAGGACTCAGCTCATGACTTCTATACATACAGAGGACCATGTCCCTGCAGCTGGCCTGGCTCTTAGAGCTTATCTCTCAGGGTGGCATCAGTGAGGCCATCAGAGACTAGCCTGTGATGAAATGGGAGCTTCACACTCAAGGAGCTCCTCTCAAATTTCCTTTTAGGATGATAACTTTCTTACCTGGCTGCCCATCTGAGATAAGGAACTAAGTAAAGCCCTAATAGGTAGCCCCTCTAACTTCAGCAGGGAGCACCAGGACCAGAAGCATCAATGCATAGATGGGCCAGGGAGCACCTCTGGACAATCTCTCCCCAGTCCCTGAAAAAAGGGTGGAGGAAAGGCAAACTCACAGTTTGGGTTACTGGCTCCATATGCAATCAATAAGCAGGAGACAGCAAAGCAGGCACTAAAACCAAACAGAAAGAGTATGTTATTTATTATTATATTACTGATTGTTATTATTATACATTGTTATCCTTTGGGGGTATTTACTATGTGTCATTTTAGAGCACTAACAATCATCATTTAATCTGATTTAACAATTCCGAGGGCTGGGGTTTTATCCAGTAGTAGAGTATATGCTCAGCCTAAATGAGGTCCTGGATTCAATATCCGGGAGAGAGGGGTGATTCTGAGAATAACTGGCCCAAATTTTCTTAAGAGGAAAATAAATCTCGGAAGGAAGGAAGGAAGGAAGGAAGGGAGGGAGGGAGGGAGGGAGGGAGGGAGGAAGGAAGGAAGGAAGGAAAAGAAATTTCTCCAAGTGTCCCATCTTTTAAGAGGCTAAGCTGGAATTGAAGCCCCAAACCAGATTTTATAAATTGTCCTGCTCCTGCCACTCCTAGACCCCAGAGGGCCAATGCTCTGAAACAAGAGAGGCTACAATTCATTCCTCAGGTTCCTGAGCCCATTCAGCCAGGGTCAGACAGACCCCACTGGGCAGGGCACAGATGACAGATGACTGACTGACTGTGCCAGATTCCTTGTCACTTGACTCTATCCTGGCAATCGATGCCTCTTCAGCCTCAACGAGCAAATGGAAGTGATCTCCCAGCAGCCCCCTCATGGTTATGGGCCTTGCCCACTACAAACCAGTGCCCTACAAGGTGATCATTCACAGGGACAACTGGATTGGGGAGGACCCTGGCCTGCTAGGGCCAGCTAATATGAACTTCCTGAGTCTGAGAGATGGAGCTTTATACACTAGAGATACATACCCCAGGGGGTGCACAAGATGATCCACGAGGGTGCTTATCTATTGGGACTTCCATTTTCCGATTTTTAATGTCATTCATTTAAATTAATTAATTAATTGTATTTATTTTCTATTTTTTTGTATTGCTAGGATCAAACCCAGTACCTTGCACATGCTAGGCAAGTATTTTACCAGTGAACTCCACTCCCAGCCCTTATAATTTTGTACATGTATTTTAAAGCATATAAAACTAAGAACAGCGTTATGTGGGCTGGGGGCTACTGCTCAGTAGTAGAAGGCTTGTTTAGCATGGATGAGATCCAGGGTGCAACCCCCAGCACTGCAAAGAACAATGAAAAGAATGATACGTGTGCATATCATTTGGAACTGATGTGCTTATATTGTACATGTTCAAAATCTTTTCTTCTGAAAAACGTGTTTTCAATGACAAGCAATTCCAGATCCTCCCAGGTAGGCCAGGGTCCTGTGCTTGCTCTATGCAGTACTGGTGAACTATGAGGATCACAGTACCTAATGATTCAGTGTCAGATGAGTAGGATCCCGCTGTGGGAAGGCGTTTAGGGAGTGCATACATCAGTGCATCTCACAGCAGGTTCTAGGATTCCGTGGTGCACCTGACAGCACATTTCAGGATTCCCTCCAGCAGGGAATGCAGTCCAGGACGTCCACCTGCCCACCCTCTTCCCTCAAGGAACCTGCACTGACCTGCCCAGCAGCCTGAGCTTCCTCGGACCATACTTGTCCATGATGATGCCCAGGGGCAGGGTGATGGCACTGAGCAGGAAGGAGCCCACGGTGAAGGCCAAATTTAGAATCTCGTCCTGAGCCTTGCAGCTGAGCCAGCCATTCATCCAGCTCACCTCCTCGTGTTCTGGTGCTGCGGTGCTCCCCACTGTGCCATTGGTGACATTTTCTGAGTAGGCAGAGGAAAGGAACATGACAGGGAATCCCAAAGTTCAGAAGAAAGGGTCATGGCAGAAATTCCCAAAGATCAGAGGGAGAGATGCATGTTCAGTCACCCCAGTGGGATATCAGAGCTGGCTTTGGGCCCCTGGAGGATCCCAGTGACCCCTACAGCAGGCTTGGACATCCATTTGGCCCAAGATCCCTAAAGCAATAATGCAGAGGTTCTTAACTTTTGTAGGATCATAAACTATTCAAAGAATTCAATAAAGAAAACTATGCAGCCAGGTGTGGTGGTGTACACCTGTAGTCCCAGTGGCTCAGGGGGCTGAGGCAGGGGGATCTTGAGTTCAAAATCAGAATCAGCAACTTAGTGAGGCCCTAAGCAACCTAGCAAGACCCTGTCACAAAATAAAAAATAAAAAGGGCTAGGGATGTGGCTCAGTGGTTAAGTGTCTCTGGGTTCAATCCCTGTACCAAAAAAGAAAGAAAATAAAATATTGTCCAGAGTTTTGGGGACACCCATGAATCCCAATTAGGAGTCCCATTCCAGAGTATCCTATACTCTGTGACAGTAGATCTTGGGACCCAGCCTTGGCTGGGGCCCCCATACTGACTAGAACCTTTTCAGCAGCTTTGTTCAGCTAGCCTGGAGGCAGAGCCTAGACTCTGGAAGGACAAGCTGCTGGTCTCACTATAATGCCCTGGTTCCCCTCAGTTCGTATGGAGAGACTGGGCCTGCTTGCCTCCTTTGTTGGCAAGTACAATTGGCATCTCAAACATACAACCGGCCATATGCCATCTCTTCCTCCTGGAAAAGCGTAAGCTACTACATAATAGCATCTAACTCTAGAGTTTTCAAGATGATCAATGAGAAAGTATACATACACTTAGGAAAGAGCTTTTTAAGAGTCCACAGTTCTCTGCTTTCACTTGCTGAGGAACACATCTTTCTTATCTCACTGGGGTTCCTGTACTGCTGTCCCCCTTGACCACACCCAGACTCTGTTGGGTGCTGAGCCCCCAAACTGGTGTGTTAGCCACACCTGTGTTGTAACTTCAGCCCTTAAGGACCCCCTCCAAAGTCCACCCAGCACCCAAACAACACAAAAAGGGAGGAAAAAGTGCCGTGGCAGCTAAGGATGGAAAGACAGGGGCCAAGCTGAGAATGCAGCTGAGGAACTCCTTGTCAGGACTGCTAGTCAAGAGATGCTGACTACTGTGCAGGAGCAGGGGCAGACTGATTAGCTGTGAGGTTACGCTGGAGAGTCAAGGAAAATCTCGCTCAGATAACGGCCTGCCTCCCAATTGCAGCCCTCTGGCGCCAGGGTTATAAAGCTGAGGTCTGCAAAGGCTTGCCCAGGCCTCTTGGAGTTGCCCCAAGGTCACTGAAAAGAAAGCACCTGGGGTGATTCATGCCCCAGACAACCTCTGACCAATAAGCCCTGTTGGGGGCATGTTGAGATGGCAGTGCTGGAACCTGGCTTCAGGGTTCCAATTTTGGTCCCTTTACTTCCTACTCTATAACCTTAGAGAAGTGATTTAATTTTGCTCTGTGTCTCAGTTTCCTTGACTGTAAAATGGCCATAATATAATTATATCATCTACCTCTAGAGTTTTCAGGAAGATCAATGAGAAAGTCCAGACAGCGTTCTAGAGCTCACACAGGCATAGAAAGTGTTCGTAACAACCAAAAGATGGGTGCACGCCTATAATCCTACGGGCTGAGGATTCTGAGGCAGCAGGATCACGAGTTCAAAGCCAGCCTCAGCAATTTAGCGAGGCCCTAAGCAACTCAGCGAGACTCTGTCTCTAAATAAAATATGAAAAAGGACTGGGGATGTGACTCAGTGGTTAAGTACCCCTGGGATCCATCCCCAGTACCAAACAAAAACCCCCCAAATGTTGTTTTTATTCTTACTGGAGGCTGGGGGGGTGGGTAGGGGTAATGGTGCAACTAACTGCCTAGCAGCAGAGCTGGTCACAGTGACAGGAAACCACAATTCTATAACTGCACGTGGGGTGGCTTGAATAGGTGTCTAATCTCCCACTGGGCTGTGAGCCCTGAGGGCAGGACTGTGCTCTTACCCCTGGTCCCAGCACCTCACTAGGCTCTGGCCACAGAGGTTGTTTACTGAATGAATGAAAACAATGGAACTGGATGACAACAGTCAAAAGGATCAAGAGAGGAAAGGAAATAGGACTTGCAGAACCAAGTCAAAGATAGAGGGGATTTAGTGAGATTACAGGCACAAAGTTAACTCCCTGAAACCACAGAAACAAAACCTAACAAGCCAGAGCCCTGCCCCTGCCACTTTCTCTCAGTTTTCTACTGAGTACACCACCCCAGCAGCCAAAATTCATGGTGAGGTCCCCTGAGCCTGTTAGGATGCAGAATAGTTTTAAGCCACTGGCTCGCACACCACGGAGCAGCTCCTGGAAGGCTGAGTTGCCACACAGGTGGGTGCTGGTTTCAGGTGTCAGCTCTTCGAGCAGCAACAGGAACTGGACCTGCGGTGGAGGGACAGGGCCACCACATGCAACAACCATTTCCAGCTCAATGTGCGGATATGAGCAAATCAGCATGGATGGGACAGAGTAGTCGGTAGCAAGCATGCCCCAGGGCCTAGACTGCCAGTCTGTGAGACCTGGTCATGGTCATGCATGGTCAGGGGCCAGTTGCTGCACTTGGGGATGTGGGAAATTTCAGGGCCTGAGGTCCATAGGATCTGCAGCTATAGGAAGTCATGGGGGAACAAGGAGCAGAGGGGCAAGGCATCACTGCCCACAAGGAGAGAACTATCCCCCAACCCCCAGTACCCTCAGAGAGGAGCCACAGCTGGATCCCTAAATCCATGACTTCCCTCAGCAAGAGACAAGAGATGGGACGGGTGTGGCTGTGCACACCTGTAATCCCAGCAGCCCAGAGATTGAGGCAGGAGGATCACAAGTTCAAAGCCAGCTTCAGGAATTTAGCAAGTCCCAAAGCAACTTAGTGAGACCCTGTCTCAAGATTTAAAAAAAAAAAAAAAAAATGGCTTGGGGATGTGGCTCAGTGATTAAGTGCCCCTGGGTTCAATTCCTGGTACCAAAAAAAAAGAAAAAGAAAGAAAAGAAAAAAAAAGAGGGAGAGAGATAAGAGATGGAAGATAAAATCCCAAGGCACTGGATAGGGGTATCTCTCTGTAGTGGAATTGCTCACCCAGCATGAGTGAAACCATGGGCTCAATCCCTTAGATTCAATCCCCAACAAACAAAAAGTCCCAAGGCAGTCTCCCTGACATGTTAGGTGTGGGCATAGGAGTAGAAGCATCCTAAATTGTTTAGAGATCTGAATAACCCAGTAGCTAGACAAGGGGCCCCCCAAGGAGAGGGGCTAGGGATGAGGTGAGGGTATGTCCTTCCCTCTTTCATCCTAGAGCATCACAGAAAAGGGACCTGCACTTTGGGCCACCAGCCTTCTTTTCTTAAACAAATCCCTGCCAATGGGCCACCTGGCCCTCCGCCCCCCTACCTCAGGTAGTAAAAAGCCCAATGCCAGATGAGCCTGGCAGTTGGGGGACTTAGTGGCCTCACTTGCCTGCCCAGGGAACAAAGCAAGAGTATCCTTGTTCCTGGAGGGAATTAAACCTTCTGTGATTCCAGGAGCTTTGTTGGCAGTAAACAACCCACATGAATAATCTCAGCCCCAACAGATGCCCGAAACACCATCACACGCAGGCTATCAGGAGAGAGATAAACAGATCAGCACCCAGGAAGTGCCAAGCCCCAGGGTGCTGCCCTAGTCCCAGCCTAGATCTCAGCCCCCACCCAGCCCAGCCTACGGGGTGCCTCACCTGCACCTGTTTATTAAACAGATGCCTCCTCAGTGGGTGGCCAGAGTGGCCTAGCCCAGCTGAGGAAGGTGAACCAAGGAGACAGGCAAGCAGTTGGTATGGCCACTTAGGAGACCCAGGGCCAAGAAAGAGAGAACAATGCCCTGCACTGTTGAGCTCAATTCAGAAGACACACAAACAAAATCTTCAAAGAAAAAGCTGGGGAGGAAAGAGGGAGCTATGACCCTACTCAGGCTCCCCTAAGTCTCCCTGGGTCAAAGTGGCTCCTTTCCCTTTTGCCCCAGTGAAAGAAAGAAAGTGGCAAGCCTCCAGAGCAGCTCCTCAGATGATGCTTGAGGGAGCCAAGGAGCTCGAGGCTGGTGGCCCTCTGCACTCCTGGGGTCAGCCTCTTCTCTAGCTGGCTGCTTTTTTCTTCTTCTTTTTTTTTTTTTTGGTACCAGGGATTGAACTCAGGGGCACTCAGCCACTGAGCCACATCCCCAACTCTGTTTTATATTTTATTTAGACCACAGGGTCTCACTGAGTTGCTTAGCACCTCAATGTTGCTGAGGCTGGCTTTGAACTCGCGATCCTCCTGTCTCAGCCTCTGGAGCTGCTGGGATCACAGGCACGCGCCACCATGCCCAGCTGACTGGCTGCTTTCTGAGCCCCCCTCCAGTGTGGGATGCCTGGGCAGCCCTGTTTTGACGGTACCTGCCCTGGGATCTCCTGTCTCCAACCCTTAGTCTATCCGGCAACAGGAAGCATCATCTCAGTCTAGCAGGAGAGATGTGGGTGAGAGGTCAGCTCAGTCACAGAGCAAACAAGAAGCAGGACGTTCACTCAGAGGGCAGAACCCCCTTGGTATAGTCATGGCAGTAGCAGCCTCCTTCTGCAGAGGGCCTGTGTGCGCTGGCCACAGAGTTCAGGGGTATTCAACCCCTGGGTCATTTAGCGCCCTCCCACTCTCACCCCATATTCCTTCCACATGACTCTATGGGGAGTTTCAGCACAGGTCAGTCACTGGCAGAGGGTCTTGGGAGAGGCTGGACTTGAATGCAGGCTGTCAGAACCCAAAGCTCTTGCTCTTAACTTTTGGGCTATGCTGATGCTGTCCTCTTGGGTTATAGGCAGCCTGTATCTCAGGAGAAAATGCTGAAAGAATGGAACTGGGAAAAACCTGTCACACAGTGTCGGGCAATACCAGGTGTCCCTCCATGTTGTCTAGTGAGACCTAGTGGTGTACACCTGTGATCCCAGCTCCCTGGGGGGCTGGCTGAGGCAAGGAGTCCAAGGGTTCAAGGCGAGTCTAGATAACTATTCAAAATAAAAAAGTAGCTCAGTGGCAGAGTACCTGCCTAGCATGCATGAGATCCTGGGTTCAACAATCCCCACACACACACTACACACACACACACACAAACACACACACACATATATATATACACACCCAAAATCTCCTAGGAGGTCACTGAAAGCCAACCCCAGGCTGTTAAATCTTCATGGACTACCAAGAAGCCAGAGGAGGCCAACAGATACAGGGAAGAAAAATCAGGTCATGAAATGAGGAGGAGGAAGGTTGGGCTGCTGCTAGCCAAGGGTCCTAACTCTTCTCTGTGACACACCCTGAGGCTGTGTGCACCAATTTCTAACCCCTCTTACTGGTTATAATGGGATTGTCTTAAAAATTCAAAATAAACCAGGAATGGGCTGGAGGTGTAGCCCAGGTAGAACCCTTGCCGGCTTGTGTGAGGCCCTGGATTCCATACCCAGCACTGTAAAACAACAACAAACAAACGAGCGAGAAAAAAGTAAAAACAGTTGCATACACAACGATAAAAGTGAAAGGTTAGCTGGGAGTGGTGGCACATGCCTGGAATCCTAGTTACTCAGGAGGCTGAAGCAGGAGGATTATAAATTGGAGGCCAGAATGGGCAACGTAGTAAGATATTGCCTCAAAATAAAAAGTAAAAAGAGTTGGGGATGTAGCTCCATGGTAGAATGCCCCAAGTTCAATCCCAGTAACACACACAAACACACAAACTATACATGTGTGCAAGTGCAAAATGTTAGACTGTTGAAAGATGTCAACCACTGGCCTGTGGATATGTAAGAAGCTCATAAAAACAGAGGGCCCTAAAGCAGCAGGGGACTCTCCTGTCCACATCTGTACCCCCACTTGGCCAGGTGGGGACCAGGGCTGGCCCTGCTTCCCTGAAGGACAGCAGTCTTTCTGCCCTGTTCCCTCCCACCACAGGCACAGCAGCCATGTAGTCAAGAGCTCAGAACCTAGGTCTGCCTTCAGGTTTATGGCTGGGTGGTTCCTTCCTCTAGCAGAGGCCATGAAGATTTCCACCTTCACAGCCCTCATTCCACCCAACACCCAGCACCCAGCACACCCTCCACAATTCCTAAAAGCTCCGAAGAGTCCCCCCTCCTCCACTTCTATGGCTTCTTCCTTGAGAATAAAACCAAGTCTCCCAAGTGACCTCCCAGACCCTACAAACTCTGATGTCTCCCCACGTCACTAGCCTTCTGCTGTCCCAGCCTCTCCTTTCCTCCAAGATGTGGTCTGCCCCAGGGCTCCCTGACTCCTCCTCACCCTTCAGGTTTCCTCTTTAACACCAGAGAAGCTTCCTACCAGATCACAACCAAATTCCCATCATTGATTTCACTCTCAGCACCCTGTGCTCCATGGAGTCTGGTTCTCATGAGTTGCTCATTCTGCACCCCCAGTACAGCACCTCAATAAATGTTTACTAATGTGTGGTTGGTGAAAAAGGAGACTGAACTTCCACAGGTAGCTCCATCCTGCTGAGCTGACCCTGTCAAAGTGGGCCACTGTACAACCAAAAAAACAAAGAAAGAGGTCGGTGTGGGTGGCTATGGTGTCCATCTAGAGGCTAAAAGTACACAACATTGGGAAAGTCCCACTATTCCCAGGATGGGAAACTAACTGGTCTTCTGTCCACATCAGGGGTTTTAAGGTGGTATTCAGCTGCCAACATCTGCCTGGTGGATATTACACCAAGTTCATCCAATTCCCAGCCCCAGCCCTGTCACTTCTGATTGTCTGGTGGGCAAGGCAAAACAAGTTGAGGGACAAAAGAGAATTCCTTCTCCCACCTCACCAAGCTGGAACCCAACACCGTGTCCATAGCCAGATTCTGGCTGGAGTCCCAAATAAAGGTTCCCGGAACCTTTTAACAGGTTCAGGTAAATTTTCTTTAGAGAACAAACTCCAACTTCAGTCCTGAAAGCAACAAAAAAGCTGAGAAATTTGCATCTCAATGAGCTGCACACTGGTCAACTCTTCAAGTCTAAATAAATTCAGTAAATGGCCTTCTCTACAATGCAGCCAACCACCAAGTTTGAAAATGTTAGGCCTGAGTGGAAACCTTGACCTTAACTTTGCCAGGCACTCCCAGTTAAACGAAGCACAAGGGTTTCTGACTCTGAAAGGTTACAGGGACTCCAAGATGCAAGGAACAGGGAGGCCAGGGAGATAAGTTGTGAGGAATCAGCAGGCTTCCCCCAGGAGGATGCTAGGTCAGCGGGTTTGCCAGATAATCAGAAAAACCAAAATCAGATGCAGGAGCAAAGAAACAGGATAAGAAGTTGATGTTCAACCCACAATCCTGACCCTTCACCTTCACTTTGGTGTGTAGGAATAACCTGTCGTCAAGTCTCTCAAGGACTTAAATACCAACTCAGCACTGTGTTGGCACAATCTCTGGGACTCCTCCCACTGAAAGGAAAGAAGCCAAGGTTGCAGGAGGAATGAAGTGACCAGCCCCATGCTGCCAATACCATAAAATAAATCAGTGAACAATCTGAGAAAAAAAAAAAAAAACTAGTATCTGACCTTTCTCACACCACAGTGGGGTAAAAAATCTGACTGCAACAATCTCTGGTCTGGATGAGTTACTAACAGCTTTGTCAAAGGATGATGATTTTCGTGTGTGTTTAAAACCCTCTCTGTACCCTCAAAGAGAGGAAGAGGCAAACAGTCCAACCTGTTCCTTTCAGAAGAGTCATTAATCTCCTAACATCTCTAGGGCAAAACAGAAAGCTTGTTCAGAGAACAAGGTCTGACTCTCCCATCTCCCAAGATTTCTTGCTGATGTGGGGAAAGACCTGCCAAGAACCCTTAGGCTATTAGGAAATATTTTTGAGTGGCTAAAGGCTAAAGGTTGGTTATAAATGATATACTTTCTGTCCTCTTCTAGGCAGCCTCTGCATTCCCTCCCTTTCTCTTGCCCTTAACTTCTGCTAATTCTCCATAGACACTCAGACACTCAGGAATATTCTGGACAGATCAGAGAAGGGAAAGAGGGGGGATCTGAGACAGGGTTACAGGCAGTGCAGGCTGGTCCAAATCTTTCTCTTCCTGCTAAGAACTCTAAAAACAAAAGAAGCACTAGTGGCAATGCTGAGGGCACAAATCTAGGATATCTCCATCAGAAGGGGCTCAAGCACTGGAGAGAGACATTATGTGAGTTCAACTATTATGCAGCCTCTGTTGGGATAAGGAGAAGGTAGAGGGAAGCATTTCCTAACACAGTTGTCTAAGAAGGAAGGTAGAAATTGGGAGCTTCTTTGGCTGAACCTATTGATCTGTAGCAATTAAGGTGGGAAGGTATGACCTTAGGGGAAGGGGCAGAGGACAGATTTCATGTACTGCAAGCATCCTCAGCCTGCCTTCTGCAACACCAATGGTGAAGCAAAGAGAAGGGAGCAAACCTAGCATCGTTTCTATAAATGTCCCCCTTCCTCTTCCTCCCCATGGGGTTGGAAGGCCACTGAGATGTTCTCATAGCCCGTGGGAGGAAGTGGCCTTTGGAGAATCATAAAGCAGCAAAAATAGACAAGAAATTGTATCCGGCAAGCCCTTAGAAGACTCCATAATGGCCTGACTGAAAAAAAAAAAAAAAAAATCTAGATTCTAGATGAAACCTCCTTGGGGTGGAGGCAAAGCCACTTCCTCTCTCTCGCTGCACCCCAGCCCCTAAATCAGGAGTTCCTCTTTCTCATAACCACGGAGCAACATGTTTATTGCAAGGCCAGCAATGTTCCAGGCACAGAGAGGACATAAGTCCAGTTCCTAGCTAGTAGAAAAAACTCCTGGATGTGAGAGTTTTGGGTCTATGGTAGTCTCCAGCATGGGCAAATAAAAAGATTGGTCTGAGCCTCAGTTTATTCATCCATGAAACGGGAAAATAATAATACGTACCCAGCAGAGCTAGGTTAGGATCAAATGGGCCTTTTGAAACCCGGGACGCTCTGCGCAGCGAGGGGGGCATTGCTGGCCAGGTCTTCACTACCATCCGCCCTCTCCCAAAGACCCCACTCCAGGAACCGTACCCAGCCCAAGGCGTCCATCTCACCTGGTTCAGTACATAGGTAGGAGTAGAAGCCCTCCGACTTCAGCATGATGAGCAGAGAGCCCCAGCCCAGGAGGACTGCCGAGAAGAGGAGGTTTTCCAACACCGCGGTGCAGGCCATCCACCAGCGGCGCCGATGGGCAGTGGCCAGGGTGGGCGCCATGGTGCGGCGCGGCGCGGCAGCCCGGCTCTGCAGCCACCTGCGCACAGACCTCCGCGTCAGCGCCGGCCCTACCCAGTCCGTACGGCCGCCCCCGACCGCTGTCCCAAGGCGGGGAGATGGTCACTCCTCCGCGGCCCTGGCTATAGGTGCGTGCGGTGAGGCAAGCAAGCCCCAGCCCTGTCCCAGACCTGGGCCACCCCTCAATCCACGGCAGGCTCGTACCACACTGCCCTCAGCTACTCTGGAGCCTCCCTGGCCAGGCAGAAAGACTTTTTCCTCAGCGCATTCCGAGGTAAACTGAGGCATGGAGGCAGGAATGGACTTAACGCATGCTCAAGGACGTGGAATTAGTCCTAACCCCCTCAGGATTGACATAGCTAGCCCGGGGGCCGGAAGGGGAAAAAGCTTAAGGTATGGCCACCTGGGTAGGGGCATACCTGAGTGCTGCCACTCCCAGGGACTCTGACGAGCTCCCGTCCGCCCGCCCGCACTCAAGACCCTTCCCCAGTGCTGTTTCTTTCAACCACAAGATCAGCGCACCGAGCCCCGGAACGGCCCGCCCACGGAGCGCTCATTGGCCTGACCGCGCAGGAACTGCCGCACCATTGGCCACTGTCTAGGTCGCTAGGCGCTGCGGCCACGCGAACCCCGCATGGGAGAGGCGAAGCCGGTTCAAACCGGCGGCGCGAGCCTGCCGAAGAGCCCCCATCCCGGGCTGTTACCTCGGCAATCAGTCCGTTTCCATAGAAGCAGACCCCGGTCCCTCCATCCCTCAGCTCCCTCCCGGGTTCTTAATCTATTCCCTGGCGGATCCTGTATCCAGTTTCTTCCCTCTCATATTCACAAATTTTCTAAGCCCCTTCTTGTGCGGCTTCTGACCCCCGACTCCTTGGCCTGGGACCCGGATCCCCGGGGTTCGGCTCACCCAGCTCCTACTGATGTGTGTCGGGCCCGCCCGGCGTTTTTTCTGCCCTCTTTTATTCCAGCCCTTTTATTCCGACCCTAAGATGAAAACACTGCTGCCTGCTGATTGGCTGAGTGGGGGCTGGAAACAGGCGTTGACCAATCATCATCCACCCGCCCGCCCCCCGGCAAGCAGAAGCCGGTTCCGGCCGGACTTGAAGACAAACAAGAGAGTTGGGGGGGCCTGGGGCAGCTGTGGGCCTTGTCTTGACTCTGCTGTTTTAAAGTGGAGCCGCAGCCAGGCCGGGAACCCCCGGGACATTGCTCCACCGCCTCTCCAGAGCCCCACCCGGAGCCCTGACCCTGGGCTGGGTCCTCAGCTAGGCGTTCCCGCGCTCCTCGGACTTCCCCAGCTGCGTGGCCGTCAGCTCCGATTTCGCACTCCGCTCTCCTCTGACCCGCTAGGTTGTCTCCAGCTCCCTTGCGCCCTTAGGCTTCACGCGTGGATGCTGTGACTCCGCGCAGGTCGTTTCACTCTCGGAAGTCCCCACTTGCCTCCTTCCCTCGCAGAGACGTTATCCCGACTTTCTCAGGCTTTGTGTTCTGGTTCCTCGCTCTCCTGCCTATGGTGGTCTCCATCCAGGTGCAGTCTGTGGGTCTCGGTCTTCGGACCCCTCTTCCCTGCACTCCTTATTCACCGATTTCTTGCCCTCTCCTAGGTGCCATCTGCTGGGTCCAAAATAGGTATCCCTTGAGGATCTTAAAGCAGGAGTTTAGGTCTTATCGGTCCAGTGTTAGGACATTGTCTCTCTGGTCCTCCATTCAGACTCTGGAGCTTCCATTCGAATTCCCGCTCTCCTTGATCCCCTGGGTGGCCTAACTCAGATCAGTCATTTTTGTGCTCCCTGATCCCGAACATCTCTTTCTGGTATGGGTCCTCTCAGCAGAGTGAGCCCTGAGCAATGCCAAGCTCCTAGTATCTGTGTGGTCTTTGTGCGAGGGGTCGCCAGGGATTAAGAGTGCTTTGGCCTCCCTGAGCAGAAGAGCCGGCCCTGCCCCGAGGAACTGCTGGATTCTAAGGGTTCTGCTGTCCGGCAGCGTCTTCCTGACCAGAGGCACTAGTCTGACCTTGGAAAACCCTGTATTCCCCAGAGTCTGTGTACTCCAGGAGCTGGCTCAATATCCCAATGCTATAGGAGCCCCAGTAGCCTCCTATTCCTCTTCCTCCAGTCCCAGTGCGCCCTCTGCTGCAGTGAACTGCCGCTGGCCTCCCTGCAAGGACATCCTCTCCAGCACAGTGCTGGTTGGTATTGTTGGTTTGTGCCAGGAGGATCCTGGCTGATTACCTATTGGGTTACCCACCCCATAGATTCTTATTCAAGGTTTCCACCGCACCTGACAGCTCTCCCTTCTTTCACTCGCCTTCTTTTAGCCAACTGCCTGAAGACCCTCTCCAGACCTCAAATACATCTTTTAATTCACCTTCCATGGCTAGGGATGTGTACAGGAGGCCCTGGGATCAATCCCCAACATCACAAAAATAATTATTCAGTTTCTCCCTCAAAACTATGCCACTCCCAATCTCCCTTAAATAAGGTAAATATAGTGAACCATCCTTTCAACAAATATTTGTTAGGTACTTGCTATGACCACACCAGTACAGCCATATTTCTTAAATATTTAATCTGTCCATTTATGTCCCTAGCACACAATCATACAACTCAGATCCATTCCCCACTCCATCCAGTAAACTGTGGGAAATGCAAATAGGACCTCTGCTAAAATTTTTCAGAAACTTTACCATTTGTTCTGCAAGTTGAAGTTCACATTCACAATTTTACCCATATGGGCTCCTCTCCACCAATACATCTTTTTCTTCTTTGGGGCTGTTTGACCTGCCTGGTGCTCCAATCACTGTCAAATTGCTTGTGGTTCTTATGCCACTATTCTCATCTCCACCTCTGGCCTTCACTATAGCCCCTTCTTGAATAGCACCTCCTCTGGGAAGCCTTCCCTGACCACTCTGTAATACCTTTTGCTATCTTTGTCCACTAATATGATATTTCATAGTTATTTATTCATGGTTGTATCCACTTTTCCCACAGACTATAACACTTTGGGGCGGGAATATGTATTATTCAACTTTGTATAACCAGCTCCTAATACTGAAGTAAGCACAATGGAGACACACAATATGGGTTTGTGGAATAAAAACATAAAGTTCTGAAAAGTACCAGATTCTATGACACCAAATCCGATGGTAGTGCCAATAATAATTAGCTTTTATTGAGAGCTAAACATATACTACATGCTTTTCATCATTTGTGCCACTTAATCCTCACAAACACACTAGGAGATAGGCATTGTCTTCATTTTTCAGAAGAAAAACCAGAGGATTTAAGCAACTTTTCCAGAGCCACAAAATGAAATGTTGAAGCTGGGACTTGAGTCTAAGTCTGAGTGAAACCTTTGTTTTTTGTCAGGAGTACTAATGCCACAACACCAGCACTGTTGCCAAATCATAAAAGAAATAAAACCATTGGGAATGGAGCTCAGTGATAGAGGGCTTGCCTAGCATGTGCAAAGTCCTGGGTTTGCTACCCAGCACTGCAAAAATAACAACAATAAAATAAAACCACTAACATACCAAATAATTAGATTATTTCACTAATTTTAGGGTAGAGAAGACCTTTCCCCTTGTAGAGAAAAAGAGAAGAAACTCTTAATAGGTTTTAAAAACCTATCACAAACTGAGCAAAGAATTAATATTCTTTTTTTTTTTTTTAGAATTTTAATATTTATTTATTTTTTAGTTTTCGGCGCACACAACATCTTTGTTTGTATGTGGTGCTGAGGATCGAACCCGGGCCGCACGCATGCCAGGCGAGTGCGCTACCGCTTGAGCCACATCCCCAGCCCAGAATTAATATTCTTGATACAGAAAATGTACTTCCAAATCAACCAGAAAAACATGAACAATTCAATTCAAAATTGAATATACCCAGATTATCTATTGGAAAAATACAAATAGCAATTTAAGGTCTGAAAAGACCTCAACCTTAGAATAATCATAGAAATTCAAATTGAAATGAGATTTTTTTTTTTTCAGTGCTGGGGATCAAACCCAGAGCCTTGGGTATGCAAAGCAAGCACTCTATTACTGAACCACATCCCCAAACGCAGACATATCAGTTTTTGATGGTTAAAATAAAGTTTTGTTTTTTAATTTGTATAAAGATTTTAAGAACTTTAACATGTATTACTTTATTCCATTTGTGCTAAAATAATAACTTACCATTTTCTACCTAATTAGATTTACAAGGAAATGAATGCCCGTGTGTGTGAGTGTGTGTGTGTGTGTGTGTGTGTGTGAGAGAGAGAGAGAGAGAGAGAGAGAGAGAGAGAGAGAGAGACTAGGGATTGAACCCAGGGTCTTCTACATGTTAGATAAGCACTATTTATTTATTTGTTTATTTTTTTAGCTATTGATGAACCTTTGTTTTATTCATTTATATGTGGTGCTGACATTCGAACCCAGTTCTTCACACATGGTAGGCAAGCACTCTGCCACTGAGCCACAACCCCAGCCCCAGGCAAGCATTGTTTTTAATTTTATTTTAGACAGGGTCTTGCTGAATTGCTAAATCTGGCTTCCAACTTATGATCCTCCTGCCTGAGCCTCCCAAGGAGCTGGGATTATAGGTTTGTGCCATGACACCTGACCATGCTTATTCCTTTAATTTGTGACTACAAACCCATACAGCTATTTTGGAGGGCAATTTGGAAGAAGTATAGAAACTTGTAATTTTCTTACACTATAACTCAACAGCTCCCTCCTAGGAATATATTCTACAAAAAAAAATGTATACTCATGCAATAAGAAATGTGGATACATTTTATTTTATCAGAAGCAACTCAGCTGTCCATTGGCAATGGGCATGGTATAAAATAACCTGTCATATTTCCACATGATGGAATTCCACCTGGTCATATTTTATGAAAGGAGGTAGCTTTACATTTACTGACTTCAAAAGTTATAGAGAATATCTTGCTAAGTGTGAAAGCAAGTTGCAGGGCTGGGAGTGTAGCTCAGTGATAGAGCCCATGCTTACTACCTACAAGGGCCTGAGTTCAATGGCTCTGCAAAAGAAAAAAAAAAAAAAGCAAGTTGCAAAATAGTATGCTTAGTATGTTTTAAAACATATATTTACATGTGTATAAAAAAGAAATCTGAAGCCCGGGCAGTGGTACATGCCTGTAATCCCAGTGGCTTGGGAGGCTGAGGCAGGAGGATCCAGAGTTCAAATCCAGCCTTGGTGAAAAGCAAGGCGCTAAGCAACTCAGTGAGACCCTGTCTCTAACTAAAATACATCCTCACATCCTATTTAGGGCTGGGGATGTGGCTCAGTGGTTGAGTGCCCCCTGAGTTCAATCCTGGGTACCATAAAAAAAAAAAAAAAAAAGAAATCAGAGTATCTCAACTGTAAGATTCTCTGCACACTGGGATAAAAAGGGACACCCCTCCCTTAACTTCTTTTCTTTTTATTACTTTATTTATGCAGACTAAAGATCAAACCCAGTGTCTCACACATGCTAGGCAAGTACTCTGCCACTGAGCTACAGACTCAGCCCTCCCCCTTCTTTTCTGACTAGGTAATATAACAGGTAGCCAAATTCAAATAAGACCAACAAGCACTCAGTGAAAAATAAGTCTGACCTCTGTCTTATCCCCAGACTCCCTCTAGGGAAAAAGGGAAATCTTCATTTTACTTTATACATGTTTGTAATGTTATAGCTTTTTATTTCATTTATTTTTATTTTTCATATGAGCTCTCTTTTTATTGCCTAGGATGGTCTCAAACTTGTGGGCTCAAGTGATCCTTCCCCCTCGACGTTCTGAGTAATGGACTACAGGCACCTGTCACTGCCCCAGCTAGCACTTTTTATTTTTTAACAAAGAACCAAATTACCTTTCATAATTTTTAAAATTTATATATACATATTTGGTTGTCAATGAACCTTTATTTTATTTACTTATTTATATGTGGTACTGAGAATCGAACCCAGTGCCAAACATATGCCAGGTAAGCACTCTACCACTGAGCCACAACCCCAGCCCCTCATAATTTTTTTAATAACTTTATTTTATTTATTTATTTACTTATTTTTGTGCCGTGCTGAGAATCGAACCCAGTGCCTTACACATGCTAGGCAAGCATTCTATAATCCCAGCCCCACCTTTCATAATTTTTTTTTAAAAATTCAGTCTAGGGTTGGGGTTGTGGCTCAGTGGTAGAGCACTTGCCTAGTATGTGTGAGGCACTGGGTTCAATTCTCAACAACACACATAAAAAAATGAATAAAATACAGGTGCAACAACTAAAACAAATATTCAAAAAATTATTTTAAAAAATTCAATCTAGTGAGAAAAAAAATGTTTACTGTAGAAAATTTTCAAATTATTCAAAAGTTTAAGAAGAAAATATTCAACTGCAATGTCATCTCCCAGGAAAAATATAATTTTTTTTAATATATTTTATTTTTTTTTAAAGAGAGAGAGAGAGAGAGAATTTTTTTTTTTAATATTTATTTTTTAGTTTTTGGCGGACACAGCATCTTTGTATGTGGTGCTGAGGATCGAACCCGGGCCGCACGCATGCCAGGCAAGCGCGCTACCGCTTGAGCCACATCCCCAACCCGGAAAAATATAATTTAAGCTGATGCTTTTCCCTCAAATCTTTTTTTATTTTATTTTTTATTTTTGCACTAGAAATTGAACCCACTGGGGCTCTACCACTGAACTATATTCCCAGCCCTTTTTATTTTTTATTTTGAAATAGGGCCTTGCTAAATTGCTTAGGGTTTCACTAAGTTGCCGAGGCCAGACTTGAACTTGGGATCCTCTTGCCTCAGCCTCCCGAGTCACTGGGATTACAGTTGTGTGCCACCATGCCAAGTTCAAGTCTTTTACTCTTATGCACATACATTTGTTTAAAAAAAAAATAGTACATAGCCAGGTGTGGTGGCACATGCTGGCAATCCCACCAACTCAGGAAGCTGAGGCAAGAGGATCACAAATTCAAGGCTGGCCTCAGAAACTTAGACCTGTCTCAAAATAAAAAATAAAAAGGGCTGGGAATGTATTTCAGTAGAAAAGCACCCCTGGGCTCAATCCCTAGTACCCCCCTGCCACACACACACAAAAGTTCATAAAGTAGTCACTAAGTACACAAAAAGGGAGAATTCTAAAAATTCATTTGGAGGCAACATGAAATAAAATTTATAAAAGGAAAACAATGGGTCTGGCTGCTTGTTGGCACACTTCTGTAATCCTAGCTTCTCAGGAGGCTGAGGCAGGAGAATTGTAAGTTCAAGGTCAACTCAGCAACTTAGCAAGACCCTGTCTCAGCGGTAGCGTGCTGGTCTGGCATGCGTGTGGCCCGGGTTCGATCCTCCGTACCACATACATACATACAAACAAAGATGTTGTGTCCGCCGAGAACAAAAAAATAAAAATATTAAAAAAAAAAAAAATGCTGGGGCTATAGCTCAGTGGCAAAGTCTCATGCCTGGCATGCTTGAGATCCTGGGTTCAATCCATGGTTCCTCAAAAAATAAAGAAACACAGGGAATTGAGAATGTAACTCAGTAGTACTCAGTGATACTCATGCTTAGCATGACTGAGGCCCTGTGTTCTAACCCAAACACCACACACAAAAAGAAAAAAAAAAAAAAAAGCTACGCTGTATACCCTTATTTCTAAATTGCTCTTTACATACTTAGTATAGCACAAATATTTTATCCTTGTACACGATTTTTCTAAGAAATATTTGTTTAGTCTATCTTCATCATCAAACATTTAGTTTGTTTCCAATTCCAGAACAATGTTTTGCAAATGAAGGAAATAATAGTCCTTTGGGGCAGAATTTAGAACAACAGAGAAAAAGTCCCTGTAGCCATCTCTTCCCCCTTCCTGACCCCATCCGGCAGGGTCTCTGCCCAGGCTTCCAGCATTGCCAGGGCGCAGAGCCAACTGGCCTCTAACTCTGGCCTTCTCCAAGGCAGAGGCTCTACTGCTCTGGCTCTGGATCATTTTCCATCACAAAGTATAATCTGATCCATGAGTAGTTCTGGTGCCCCCTCCCTGCCCTTCCACCCATCCACAGTCTTTCAGTTCCCAAATTCAGGGTCCTTAGGACTCTGGTGGCCCAGACACGAGTACAACATTCTCATACAAGGGCTCCTCCTGCCCTTCCTCTTCTGCCTGCTTTTGGAGATCTTGTTCTGGGGGGCTGTTCCCAATGACTGGCTCCTGGGCCCTCCCTGAGCTCTCAATGCCATCCCCTACCCCTCTCGACACTTCCTCTGATCTAACTCCTATAGACTCCATGGTACAAATGAGTTTGGCATTGGGAGCTAAGCCAAGGCTCTGACTGGCAGAGCCAGAGGACAGCCCAGGGTTGCCCTTGTTCTGACCCCGTGCCCGGCGTGGTGGCTTAGCAATAGCACCAGGCCTCTGACTGGCAGAACTAGAGGCCAGCCCAGGGCTATTCTTGTTCTGACCCAGGGCTCGGCGTGGAGGCTTAGGGATGGCAGTCTTGACCTTAGCTTCTGCCTGACCTTTCCAGAAATTACCAAAATGCCGAAAGATAGACAAGACAGGACCCTCAGATCTCTGGGGCGTCCCTGCCAGCATGTAGATTGTGGCCACAGGATCTGAGTTCTCCTTGACACCACTGTCAATGGCTTCCACACACTCAGCTGCTGTCTGGTCTTCAAGGTAGTACTGGTGGTCAATGGCAGAATCTCCAGGGCTGGCAATAGCAGGAGCAGCCTCATCTGTGTTTCCTTGCTCCAGAGTTGCGGACTCCTTGGCTTCCTGACCTTCAGGACCTGGTTGGGCCCCCCTGGAGAGCCTTTTGGGTTTTCGGAATGGGCTGGAGAGTTCTCCTGAGCTTCGGCAACTCTGTGACGCAAACTTGGTGCCTTCAGCAAAGGAAACTGATGGCCGCTTGGCCCGCGCTAGGCTGGAGGTGCGTGGAATAGCAAATGGTGTGGAGGTATCCTCTGGGGGAGGGAAGGGGCCACCAGCCAGGCTGGCCTCTGCTGACTCTGCATGGGTTACCGGGACCATCCCTGGCAAAGGAGACAGAAGAGCTTGCTGCAGTTAGGCTGGCCACCCCAGTTCATCCCGCCTACAGCTCAGCATCTTCTGGGAAGCCTCAAAAATGGCGCAAGGAAAGGAGGGAAGATGCAGAGAGGCAGGAAGGGGTCAATTCATCAGACACTGCTACTTCACTCTTCTACCACCCCTTCCCGCTCTGAATCACTAGTACACTCCAGTCAAGCTGAAACTTGCAATGCCACAGAGCCACATCCCTCTCCCTCAGGGCCATCATAAACGTTGTTCCCTTTACTTGAAACACCATCCCAATTGTAACTTTCACTTTACTAACTCCAGCTAACCCTGCCAGACAACACAGCTGTCACCAACACAGACGTGTTCCCTGATGCCAGTCGGCCAAGACGTGGCTAGATTATGAGTCCACCCTAGTGTATCCCCCATCAAAGCATCTATCACTCTGTCCTATAAGTGTCTGATTACTGCCTACCAGACTACAGGCTTGCTGAAAATAATCTATTTTATTCTCTACTGTGTCCCCAGAGCCAGGATCAATAACTATCATAGAATGGGAAGTAGATCCAAGTTTATATGTTTGCTGGAGGGAAGAGCTGCTCAGGGGTTCATTGGGCTGTTGGGGGCTACCTTCTTGGGGTGGCACACAGTAGGCAGGAACTTCGTCCTCTACTCCAGACTCAGGATCAGAAGAGAAGGAGTCATCTGAGGCCCAGCCAGCAGAGGGTGGCTCGATGAAGCTATGGTTGAAGGGGACCTCTGGGTCATGGTGAGAGACTGTAGGAGATACAGATCAGCACAGAGCCTGATGGGAATCTTTGTCCCATCCCAGTACCCCATCCTCAGTCCTCACTTACCTGTCACCCAGGGAAGTTTGTGTCTGCTGAGGGAACCACAGGACAGGGCAGAGCCTAGACTGGTCAGCGCCCCCCAGACCTGCTGCTTCATCCTGGACAAGGCAGCACCATCTCTCACAGGCCTAAGCAGTGGAGTAGGAAGGGTGGTCAGTGCACAAAACACAAAGTGACCTGTATTACCTTGGCAGGGTATGACAGCGGCTACATCTACTTCAATGGCTCTGTATCAATTCTAGAATAAAATCTTAACTACCGAGCCCAAGGTCTGAATCACAGAAAACAGCATGGCTCTTGAGTCACAGAGACCTGGGTAACAACTCTGGCTCATACTTCATTCCCTGTAAAATGGGGACAACAATCTTATATCAGAGTTTTTCTCAGGACGCATAGTATTTGGCAGTGGTTTTCCAAAATGTAGCTCTTTGTTATTGTCATCCTAGTTGAACCCCAGTAAGCCTGTCCTTGTCCCTATGCTTCTCTGCTCCCAAGCAGTCATACTACTCCACCTGTCAACATTGGTCTGATGGCCTTTGTACATGTCCTCATTTTCCTGGGAGGGGCTTCTTCCCCACCCCAGGGCTCTCTGCCATGGGGCAAGGACAACAGGATCTGCTTATCTGTGGATGCCCAATAGCACACAGGACACACTCAAGGATCAGGCCATGAGAGAACTGGACAGAATCCAGAGAGCCTGTTGGGGTCTGTGTGTGTGCCGTGACTAGCTGGGTCACCTATGGCCTTAGTGACCTCTATGAATTGAGGATGATAATCCTCCTGCCCCCACATTTCCTGTTCCAAACCTCCATACTTTTGAGTCTCCAAGAGGTTAAGAGGCATGAGGACGTTCTGTGAAGAACAGAGCTACCTTTGAGCAACACTCCCCTGTGGCAACCCCACTGGCCCATTCCTTCCTCCCTTCTGTCTCTTAGAAAGCCATATTCTCCGTTGAACCACCAACTGTCTCCACTACCTCTGATCTAAGCACTGACAAGGCCAGCCCTTTCACACCCTGGAAAGGAAACCAGATGGGACCGGCCAGTGTTCACCTGTCCTTGGGGTCCAACCGAGTAGTCCAGCGGTAGTAGGCCCAGCAGGCAATGCCCAGGAGGAGCAGCAGCAGAGGGACCAGGATGCCAGTAGTGAGGATGGCATCCTTACTGTAAGGGCCTGGGGAAGCAAGAGATGGTCAAACACTCAGGAATTTCTGCTCTCCCATGCATGATGCCTCATGTTTAGCTCTGAGTTGCCACTTCCCCAGAGTCTTCTATTTATGGGTACCTCTCTCTCTTCCAGCCAGCCTTTGCTGGTCTGTCCCCTCCTGACGGTCCAGGCCCCATTCTAAAAATTCTTATCCTGATTTTCTTGTACTCTGCCATCCCAGAGTCCAAGCCAGCCCACTCATTTCCTGGATCTACCCTGGTTTCTCCTGGGGTCCCAGAGCATCCATACAGATTCCAAGAACAGGAATGTCTCTGAAGCAGGCTCAGGTTTGCTAGCAAGTGGGGCTCCTGGAGTTTATGGAAATGCTGAGATATTCCCTGTTTACTGCAGCACCTCGCATCCTCCCTGCACTCTCCCCAACTCACAGGCCCCTGAGACAGGGTGGCAGAGTCCCTCTGTACATTGGCAGGGAATAGAGCAGTTGTTTCCATGGAAGCCAGATGGGCAGGAACTGTTGCAGCTGTGGGGTAACAAGGAGGGGCAGGCTGAAGGCTGGGTGAAAAGGGATGGAGGTGGGCAGGGGAGAGGGAAGGCAGATTTCTGAGTACTGTACCCACCCCCTGCCATTTCCCTGGATGATACCCAAGAATCTCACTTCTGAGTCACATTCTAATTGCCTCTGGCAGTGGAAGGAACCCTCAGGCTTGAAGCTGCCCCGCTATTGGCAGGCCAATGTACAACACTCTGGACAGGGTCTACCTCTGACTATCCTCAGCCCCTTAGCCACCCAGAACTAATGTGAAATAAGCAAGATGCCAGTGGCATTCAGGGAGGTGCCATCAAGATATGGAGGTGTGAGTCAAGCCTGGCCTTGACCCTAACTTTCCAAGCCTTGGACCTTTCCATTATAAAATGAGGTCTCTTCTATTTGACATTACAAGCTGTCTCATAAGTGAAAACCTGATTGGAGACACTGTTTTCCATCTGAAGACCTTAGGGAAATGACAATGGGTCTAGAGCCTATCCCTAAGTAAGGTTCCATCCAATTAGGGAGTAAGTCCTTTTTTTATTCTTTCTTTTAAATTATTTTTCTTTCATTTTTTTCTCCCTAAGGTCTCAGATTGAAAATCTGAGGGCTAAGGATGTGGCTTAAGTGGTAGCGCGCTTGCCTAGCATGTGTGAGGCACTGGGTTCGATTCTCAGCACCACGTAAAAAATAAAATAAAGATATGGTGTCCACCTAAAACTAAAAAATAAATATTAAAAAGAAAAGAAAGAAAACTTGAGATCCTCTGGATGTGGTAGCACATGTCTGTAATCCCAGCAGCTCTGGAGGGTGAGCCAAAAGAATTGTCTAAAGCTAGCCTCAACAATTTAGCAAGGCCCTAAGCAAGTCAGCAAGATGCTGTCTATAAATAAAAATAAACAGAAGAGCTGGGGATGTTGCTCAGTGGTTAAGTGCCCCTCAGTTCAATCCCTAGTAACAAAAAACAACAACAACAAAAAGAAAACTTGAGATCATGCACTGTTACACCCTGCCTGACACTGGTCAAGCTCCTCAGTAACAGGTTCTGTTAGATATTAGTCAGCTATGACTAGAATTCACTCTCTAAAGCATACACTATTAAAACCCCTAATTATTAGCTGCTTCACTATCCTGTACACATGACTTAGTGGGCTGCTGGTTGTTTTTCTTTCCTTTTTTTTTTAATCTTATTTATTTCTTTTTTTAGTCCTTTTAGATTTGGTATTATGACTTTCCTCAGATGACCTCATAACAGGAGGACTAACTTCTGAGTTATGAAAATGGTAGACAGGTATCTGAGAGGTGGAAAGCCCCAGGAAAGAAAGTTTAGGAACCATTACTCAGTCCCAGTACCCTCCTGCCCACAGGGCTCAGTCCTTACCTGGTCCCCCAATAGCCAGCACTGCAGACACATTCTCCTGTTACAGCATCACAGGAGCCCTGAATACAGGTGGGGCAGGTAGAGCCACAGCCCTCCCCAAAGGTGCCCATTGGGCAGGAGTCTTCACACCTGAGGGGAGACAAGACTCAGGGATGGGGAGGGTAGAGCAGGTCTGCCCCCATAGTGGGGACCCTACCCACCTTCCCCATGCTCCAGGACTCAGAAACCCAACTGGCCATTCCTCAGCAGTGAAGCTCAGGTGTAAACAGGGCCTTGAACCTAGAACCAAACCAGTAGGTGACAGACTACAAATTCCTAGAGGGAAAAGGGGAAGGAAACCCCAAGGGGTAAGGAAGTTAGAAGAGCGTGCATCCCAGGACTCCCTCAAAACTCTTCTTTGACCCTCAGTTTTACCAGGAGGTAGCCCCAAGGGCTGACTGTGTGTTGGGAAAGGTAAGGATCCTACAGAAAAGTCTAGTCCACCCTCAGTAGGGTGGTGTCCTCACCTGGGCCCCAGCCAGCCAGGGTCACAGTGCTGACAGTGGCCTGTCTCTGGCTGACAGGCCTCCCCAAGCCGGCAGCGAGGGCACTGCTGGCTGCAGTTCTTGCCAAAGGTGCCTGGTGAGCAGGGCTGCTGGCACTGGGTCCCATCCCAGCCTGGCTTGCAGGACTCACAGTGGCCTGTGTCTGGGGAGCACGATGCATTCTGCTCACATTGGCCACAGCTGGTAAGAGAAAGGGTTCATGGGAGCACCAGGGACAGATGGAGAGCCCAACTCCTCCAACCCACCTATAGCCCACTCAGATCTTCAGGGGCACTAGAGAGCATCCAGGTCCCAGTTAGGTGACTCAGGCAGGTTCAAGCCTCAGTTTCTCTGTTCTGTGCAATAAAAAGATCAGATAGATGATATCTGAGGGCTCTCACAGGGTTCCATTTCTCTCCTTGCTCTATGATCCATCCTTCCCTGGGTCCCAGGGTCACCTGAAGCTATAGTACAGCCAGGACACCAAGTTACCGCTCTACCCTCCACCTGCTTTCTGCCCAGCTTTCCTTTTCTCTTCCTTTCCCCTTTCTCTCTCCCACACTATGCCATCCCTGAGATCAGGGCTCAGTGGTTTATCTTCTATCCCACAACATGAAAATGTAAAAAAGTCAATTATAGACTGCATGCAGTGCAGTGTGCTTGTAAGGCTACTTCAGTGCCTGGAACAGAAGGACCACTTTAGCCCAGGAATTCAAGGTAAGTCTGGGAATAAAGCAAGACCAACCTTAAAAAAAAAAAAAAAAATCAGGGACTGGGGTTGTGGCTCAGTTGTAGAGCACTTGCTCACATGCGTGAGGCACTGGGATTGATCTTCAGCACCACAAAAAATAAATAAGATAAAGATATTGTGTCCATCTACAACTAAATAAATATATACATGACTAATGAATGATTATGACTGTTTAACTACTATACTTTCAAGTTTACCTTATCTAAATTTTTCATTGATGCTTATCAGTAACTTGAAGTTTCTCCCTCCAGATTCTTAATTATCTGGGATGATAGACTTGGGTCAGATCCATTATCAAAAGGGAAGAAAGGAGTTTATAAAACCAGTCTAACCAATCTTGACTAGCATTTAGAAAAAGGAAAACACTACAGTACATGTGTATGTATAAATATAAGAATGTATTGTCTAGTTATTTTTATTTCCGTTATAAAATGTGCTACATGTGTCATGTGGGATGTAGTTTCTTGTTCTTGAGCTGATCAATAATTGAAAGCCACTGAGTCTTAAAGGGCCATTCTTTTGAATCGTGATTCTTTTTCTAAGTATGGCTTGCTAGTATTATATCTTTAACTAATTGGATGAAAGGAGTGGGAGGGCTCAACCCAGGGGTATCAAGGGGTTTCTTCTTCTTTCCTCCCTGTCTTGTGTATTTTGGGGGGATAGCACTAGGATCCCCACTCCGTGTCTAGCACTTCTCACTGGGTACCTGCCTCTTCCTGCTCTTCTTGCTCTTCCTGCTCACTCCCCCTGACCTGGGTCCTCCCTGGTGCTCCTTGGAGGGGGGCTCACCTTTTGCTGCACTGCACCCCGTAGCTACCAGGAGCACAGGGCAGCTCACAGCGTGCGCCGTGGAAGCCAGGAGGGCAAGAGCACTGACCGGAAGTGGCACTGCAGAGGCCACGCACGCACTGACACTTCTGACGGCACTCGGAATCCCACCAGCCAGGCTGGCAGATGCAGCGGCCCGAAAGCTGCTCGCAAGGGGAGCCATTGCAGGAGCAGCGGAAGCTGCAACGGCGGCCCCACCAGCCCGAGTGGCAGAGACAGGCTCCTGTGGTCTGGTCGCACTGTGATGTAGAACTGCACTGGCATTGGCGGCGGCACGTGGATGACCACCAGCCCCGATTGCAGTGGCACACACCCGTCTCAGGGTCGCAACGGCCGTGGGAGCTACAGGCACACGTGAACTCACAGCGGCTGCCCCAGCGGTCCGCTTGGCACTGGCACTTGCCGGTGGCTGGGTCGCACTGGCCGTGTGGGTGGCAGGGGCAAGTCTCACGGCAGTCGGGGCCCCAGTACTGGCTTGGGCAGCCTGCAGGGTTGCAGGGAACGGAAATCGGCTCAGGGCCAGGCACAGATCCTTGTCCTATCCTTTCCTCAAAGCAGAGGGGTCCAGCCAACCCTCCAAGAGACAAGGACAGACCCTGGAACATGTGGCAACCTGTCCTCCTGGAGCATAGCTCACTTCCTGCTCCAGACTCTGAATTACAAAAACCCTTAGCCTGGGGCTGGGGTTGTGGCTCAGAGGTAGAGTGTTTGCCTAGCACGAGTGAGGCACTGGGTTCATCCTCAGCACCACATAAAAATAAATAAATAAAATAAAGGTATTATGTCCATCTATAACTAAATGAAAAAAATTAAAACAAACAAACAAACAAAAAACCCTTAGCCTGGGCCCAGCCTCCCACTTGATGTTCTAGAGCACACTCAGAGATCTTGAGTGAAAAGGGGGTGTTCCCAGAGTCACACATAGGTGGGTGGGGGCTTTATTCACAAACCCCTGTTGAGCTTCCCACCCAGGGATTCCTGGGGCCTACCTTCAGGGTATGGGTCCACCAACCCCCTTTCTATCCCCCTCTTCTGCCAGAGAGGGCAGAGAGCCTGGTTTGGAGTCTCCTGCCCTCCACCCATATATAAGGTATCTGTGGGGGAGACTAAATTACACAGTTAACAGGGATCACAGGCATTTTCTCTAAGAAGTTAAAAACGAGGCAAAGGTCCCAAGTGGGCAGGGCTTTGTGAATATAGAGAAAAAACAGATGACTCAGGGCATCTACCAGGGGTACATCACTTCTGTAAGTGGGCCTTAATTTCCTCAAACTTGAAACTTGGGGGAATGGGAAGGCCGAGGCAGGAGGATGATGAATTCAAAGCCAGCCTTAGCAACTTAGTGAGGCCCTAAGCAACTCAGCAAGACCCTGTCTCTAAATATAATATAAAAAAGGGCTGGGGATGTGGCTCAGTGGTTAAGCTCCCCTGGGTTTAATCCTTGGTACCAAACAAACAAATAAATGACTTGTGGGGATTCTGGCCCTGCTGTTCTAAGGTTACATTTCCATCTGTTCTGCCATGCCCCTCCCTCCCCCACCCACCACCTAGTTCTGCCCAGTAACTTCATCCTGCAGTTGAGACTCACGGGAGCTGCACTGGGCCCCGAAGAATCCAGGTTTGCATCGGCAGAGGCCTGGTTTCACACATATCTCGTCTTTCTGGCAGGCATCCAGTCCCTCACAGATAGCTGAAAAACATCCCACCCAGGTCTGAAAGTCTGGGGCACACACAACCAGGGGACACCCTCTCCCTTTTACCCACTTCAGGGGCTTTGCTCCCTTAAAAGCCACCCTCATAAGGCTGGAGATGTGTGTCACAGGATGAACCCTGATTTTAGGGCTCTGGAGAGGAAAAAGTAGGAAGAAAGGGTTGTCACTGGGTGATATCTCCCATCTCCTTGGCTGGGGGTCCAGCCTGGCTACTCACGAATGGTGCATTCTCGATCTTTCTGCCTCCAACCTGGGCAGCACTGCAGCTCAGCAGAGGGGCTGTGGGGCAGAAAGGGGTCAGCTGGTGGCAATGCAGCCCCACAGGGTGAATCACTGGCTCCAGCTGAGGTGTGGTAATCTGCCTCAGACCACCAGGGAGATCTACCCCGCTGTGCCTGTCCACTCCGGTCTCCTTCCTTGGCCTTAATAACACCTGCCCTGACTATCCACTATTTGCCAGATCATTCCTCAAAACCCTTCCCTTTAATGCCAAGACCTCTTCCTCTACATCCTCATTCTCAGAAATGCCTCAATTTTTCATTCTCAGAAATGCCCCAATAATTCAGGCATCATCCCCATCAGTCTTCCCCAAGACCCACCTGCTGCCCATGCAGACGTGTTGCCCATTGGGATCCAGCTCAGACCCCTGGATCCCTGCAGTCCAGAGCAGCAGAAGTAGGAACAGCAGCCCCAGCCCCATGGCGGCCAATAAAGTGGGAGGGCTTGAGTTAATCTGGCTCCCACAGCTCCCAACCCCCTCCCTGCTTCCTCCCAAGGCTTTTCCTGAGGAAACCAGGCCGGAGGGGTGGACTGACATGATGCTCCGCCCTGAAAGGGCCCCATGGGTACTAGAAAGGCCATACACTCAGAAACGAAAGGGAAAGAAAGGCTGATGGTAAGAACTGAGTGGGTTTATGGGTCTTAATCTGGAGGCAGGAAGGAAGAACGAAGGCCTATGTCCTTGGATACAGAGAATAGGCAAGGGGGTGGGCATGGCTTTCCATTAGACCGTACTCCCAAAGTGAAGCCAGAGCTGAGAGAAGTCTTCCATCCAGCGACCAACCAAGAAGGAAACCCCATGAGGAAACCTCTGGCTGCCCCTGCTCCTGGAGGCTTGGGAGGTGGGACGGCCCACTAACAGACAGACATGGAGAAGTTTTGGGTATTGTGGGCAGATGCTTTATTACATTAGCTGTACAAATCCTCAGACAGGTAGATAAACAGTCCTCTGTCTCCTGAATGGGGAAACTGGAACTTGGAGAAGAAATACCTTTGCACAGATAGCCCAAGGCTTGGTGAAGGAAAGTCAGGAAGGTAAGCAGGCTGAGCTCCCTGTCATGGTGAGCACAGGCAGGACAGGAGATGAGCACCAGAGAGGGCTGTGAAGGTAGGAGCCCTATCCTCATTTGAGCTCACACATTCACCCACTGCCAGACCCCAAAGTCAGGCCTCTGGGGCAGCTGAGGCCCTCAGACCAAGATGTTTATCAAAAGCAGAGCAGCGCCAGTCAGGAGTTGGGGGCTGGAGGGGTGCCCACAGGCTCCAAGTGAGGTTGCTGTGGGGCCTCCTCTTCTTCCCCTAGTTCACCGGGAGTGGTATTGCTGGTCTTAGCTTCTGAGGCCTCTGCTTCACTGTGATACCATGAGCCAAAGCTGGAGGGAGAGCCAGGAGGTACTTTGAGCCAGAAAGCCAGAGAAGTCAAGGATATGGGATGAGGGCAGGGAGTGGTGGGAAAGGAGATACAGAGGGGAAAAAGGGCAGTGTGTGGTCATGGGGAGCTGAATGGGGTCAGGTCAGGAGGGAGGGTTTGTTGGAGCTCAGGACAGCAGGGTGAGAGGCAGTGGAAAAGGAAAGGAAAAAAACAGGACTCCTCCTTCACCTCCCCTCCTGCCCTTCCCTTCCCTCAACATACAAACTCTGTATTCTGGACTCAGAGGGTGGGGGATCATCTCCTTTATTGCTGGAGAGCTGGAGCCAGGAGCCATCCTCATCATCACTAAGACAGAGGAAAGAGAAGATGTGAGGGCTACATATTGAGGCCCTGAGGGACAACAGGAGTTCAGCTCATGTGGAGCTTTTTGAATGGCCTCCAGGAGCACCAGGGAAAGACAGAAGGACTTCAGGGTTCCCAGCTGGAGTGAAGGAGGCACAGGATATCTTGAGGCTTTTACTTTATAGCCTGGCAGGTAACAGGCCCCTGGCAAAGCTGCAGGCCCAGACCCATTCCTCTAACAGATAGACCCAGTCAAGGCAGGAAACTGAAAACTGAGTGTGGAGAAGCAGCATTAGCAGGTTTCTTCAGCAGATGTATACAACAGGGCAGGTGGGAGCAGTGTGATCCAGAAAGACGATAGCAAGTGGGACTGTGGGCTCAGGGTGTGATCAGGCCAAGTCAGCAGGCCCAAGGAGTGACCTAATCATAGCTGCAGGCTTAGCAGGACAGACTAGACAGCAGGCTTAGGGATAAGGAGGCCAGGTTAGATGGTCCAAGAAGTGACTAGATGAGATTGATATAAGGGTGACCAGGCTGGGTCAGCAGGCTCAGCTAGGTGACCACTAGGTCAGCAAATGCTAAGAGGTGGCTATCTAGGTCATCAGGCTCAGCAAAACTTGGGAGGGAGAGAGGAAAGGCTGGATCGGGGAAATGGAGGCAGGATCCTACCTACTCTCTGCTTCCTCTGGTGTCCCTAACATCTTGGCCTTGATCTTCTTTCGCTGTTTCCTGACAGCCACCTTCATGGCTTCAAGCAGAAGCCCAGGGACCCTGTGGTCTGTGAGCAGTTCCCTATAGGAGAGAGGGAGTGGCAGGGAGAAAGCAGTGAGGATGCCAACTGTAGGTTCCAGTCCAATTACCCATTTGCCTTTTTCTTCCTGAAATACTGCTTTGCACTGCTAACATTTCTCAGATCTTCTTATAGGTGGCCTGCTTCCTAGGAATACTTCCCTACTTGCTGCTGCTGCTGTTGTGACCCTTTGCGCTTGCTTGCTCGCTCTCTCTCTCTCTCTCTCTCACACACACACACACACACACACACGTTTGGATGAAGTTCCAGGACAGCAGGAACTATTTAATTCATGTCCTCCCAGTACCCAAGCAGAGCCTGGCATATGTCACAGTGGATATATCAGTGAATAAAGAATTAGTGGGTGACTTGAGGCCCAAGGTAAGTAAGTAGAGGCACCTCCTCTTCCTAGCCTCTTACCGCTGGAAATAGGCCAACTCCTCCTTGAGCAGAAACACATTGGTTTTGAGCTCATTCCGCTCTTGAAGGATCTGCTCAACCTCCTCCCTGCTGAAGCCACACTGCCCTGCCTCCGGAGGATGTTCTGGCTGCGGTGGGGTATGCGTCTGTGAAAGGGCAGACATGATTGAGGAGGGCAGCCTCCATTATCCTTCCTACCTAAACCCTAATACTATCACAGGAAGGCTAGGGAAAGTGACTGGAAGACTTTGGGGGCAAGTGTGCAACAGTAGAGGGCGGCACTGCTGCAGCTGAGTGGGTCTTAGGTGCAAATCTATGTGTCACTTTCCAACGGATTTGCTATGCAGCCTGGAACAACAACTTGCCCAGTGCTTAATAAGTGCCAGACTGTGTGGGTCTGAGTTGGGTCCCTACCTTCCTCCTGCACTCACCGGGTCCTCAGGAGTCACTGGATCAAGCTCAGGCCTCTGCTCTTCAGCTCGCTTGCCAGGGCCTTGCAGTGGTAGCTCATGCTCCCTCTCGCGGTCCTGTGCAGCCCGCAGCTGGGCTTGCACGGCGGCCAGCTTGTGTCGCAGCTCTGCATTTACCAGCAGGAGGCGCTGCAGCTGCTCCTGCAACTGGGGGTGGAGCGAGAAGAGAGCTGACGGGCGGGGCGCCAAGGCCCGCCTGAGCCCCGCCCCACGCCTACCGACCGCACTCACAGCTTCCATCTCCTGGCTACGTTGCAGAAGGTCGCGGTTATAAGCACGGAGCTCGTCCCGCTGTTTGTCCGTCACCTCCTTGAGCTGCTGCAGTAGCGCATGCTCCTCTGAAGAAGGCGTGTTAGTGGCGGCCTACAGGAGCTGAGGCCCCAACTAGTCCCCAGCCCACCCTGGTCCCGGCGGGGCCTGGGCTTACCCTGCGGTCCCGAGCGTAGTTCCCTACGGAGGTGCTCATTCTCCTGCCTCAACCGCCGTAACTCCAGTTCGGCCTGCTGGGCAGACACCTGCAGCTGGGGATGTACAGGCTGGGATTAGAGCCTGCCATCCCTACGGTGGGGTAAGCAGAGCGAGGAGTGACTCACCGAGTCCGGGGCGGGCCCAACAGCAGCCTTTTCCAGGAACTCCAGTGCCCGCACCACAAGCGGCACCAGCCCAGCTGCTGCCTCTGGGCCAAAACGACGCGCCAGCTCTTGCAGCTCAGTGCCCAGGGCCCCCGCTAGATGGTATACGAGCTCAGCTGCTGTCGCAGACCCCGAGGAGGCTATTTGAGGTATCCAGCTGGGTGGCCCAGGCGCTGCACTCCTGGGCTCCATTTTCCCCCCAGAAGACCTAGGGCACCCCAGGCCTCAACTAGGACCGGAAAATGCCAAACAGTTCTGTCCCAGGAAGTTTAGGAATGTAAAGGGCGGGGTAGAAGTGACAAGGGAGGAGCAACAAGGGGTAAAGGACTGGGAAAGGGACATGGTGCACCCTGTCCCTGTCCCATTCAACCCCCAAGGTCACAGGGAACTGAATCACCATTTCCCAGGCAGGTGTCCAAAAGCAGAGGCCCAGTGTTGTTAGTGGTCATTGTAGGCAGGCCCTCCCCCTAGCACCCAGTCCAGGCTCCACCCCTGTGCCCAAGTCCAGAAGTGGACTTGGCTGCTAAGCACTCCAGGCAAGAAGTGAGACTGAAGGCCAGTGAGTGCTACAGACCACAAGCCACAGAGCTAAACCCAGAAAGGGGAGCAACTTCTCCAATGTTGAAAAATGGTGATGGTTTACAAGTATTTTTCAAAGAAACCATAAAGATAGTCAAGTCAGTAGAGTGTGAAAACCCAATCCCACATCAGTTCCTTAAGTCTAGGGGATATTCAGGTCCAAAACCCTGAACAGGAGGGAGCCTTTTACTCACTCAAGATAGAACCCAGCACCAAGCTGTGAACAACTGCCCCAGCCCCCTGTCATTTCCACATTCAGAATTTGAGCTGGGGGGGGGGGGGGGAAGCAACCAACCCTGAATTTCTATTTATACAAACTTTATTATATGTTGTTCAGGAATACAAGCCATTAATGACACAAACACAAAAACGAAGGAAAAAAGGGCCAAGCTGCTGAATGTCACCAGCTTGTATGTGGGCATAAGAGGCTTCAGCATTTGAAAAGTCCAAAACAGGAGGAGGTGAGGAAACAACTAGGCATATAGGTCCTCGCGGTCTGCAGAGTAGACCTCTCCCTCTTGCAGGAGGGCAAAGTTGAGGAAGTGGGAGGGTCTGTGCACCTCATGGTAGAACTCTTTAGGGTTTGCCAGCTGTAGCTCATACTTCATGTTGGGATCATGTCGGACACCTTAGGTGAGAGGGAAACATTAAATGTTAAAAGGGTCTCCTTTCCGCAACCAGCCTGGGCCACTGGGCCATTTCTGCCCAAGTGCTAAGGGTAATGACGTCACTTATCCCCAACCCTGTCCCCACTTCCCATGCTGCCCTCACACACAGCCTACTCACCCATAAAGTTGTAGTTCCATGAGGACTGAGCAGGAA